TCAGACCATTTTCTCTGCTCTGGTTCAGAGTGAAATTCTGAATGCTTTATTAGGATTTTAAAATCATTAACATTCCTCTAGAGCAGCCATTCCCAAAGTCAGTAACACCGCGGCCCCCTTTAAAATCTGACGGGTCTGCGCGGCCCCCGAAATAATAACCAAGAAGACAACGTTAAAAATAGGCTCTTCTTATTTTATTTGGGGGAAATCTGCTCAAACTTGTAAATGCCGCACCCCATTTTGTAATACAAAAATGATTACAATTAGAGTATTCATGTCAAATAATGAACACAAATATTGTAATATTACAAACAAAATTTAACATACAATAATTATATAAAACTTTTTTTTTTTTTTTTTTTTTTTTGATGACCTCTCGCGGCCCCCCTGCAATATGGCCGCGGACCACACTTTGGGATACACTGCTCTGTTTGGTTGGAAGCATCGTCTCTGCTCTGGTCTGGATCATTGTAAAACCATCAGCACTGCAGTAACATTTACAGATAGAAAAAAGCAAAAAAAATAACGATAGTAAAGCACAAAACAACAACTGTTTCAGAGATACTTAGGATTTGCTTTTGTTTTTAATGTATACAAAAGTCTTCAACCTCAGCACCCACATACATACAGTATCTTATATGTACTCGTGAAAGTTGGAGAGGGAACTTTAAAAAAAACAATGATCGGAACCATGGCCTCTGCTGCGTGTCTTTGTCCCTCTGTCATCCCACTCCTCGCACAATCTCCTCTTCCCTGCTTTTCCGTCTCTCGTGCCATTTCAGCCGCGCACCTGGCCGCTGCTGCCTTTGAACCGTTTGCGTGCTAGCACAATAACTTAGCCGCGCGCGTGTGTATCTGCTGCATTTTTATGTGTGTGCGTGTGCGATTGCCTCCTCTGCTCTGAAGCGTGCCGTCCAGGCCCAGAGCCGCTGCCAGGGCCAGAGATCAAAGCAGGACAGATGCACATACCTGGGACATGAACGGAGAGAGCAGCCGCGGGCCAGCCCAGTGTCACCTGTTTGTGTGCAGTGCTGAAGTCCTCTCTCTCTCTGTCCTCCTCTGCATCTGTTCTCCTCTCTCTGTCCTCCTCTCTCTCTGTCCTCCTCTCTCTCTGTCCTCCTCTCTCTGTCCTCCTCTGCCTCTGTCCTCCTCTCTCTGCCCTCCTCTCTCTCTGTCCTCTCTCTCTCTGTCCTCCTCTCTCTCTGTCCTCCTCTCTCTCTGTCCTCCTCTCTCTCTGTCCTCCTCTGCCTCTGTCCTCCTCTCTCTGCCCTCCTCTCTCTCTGTCCTCCTCTCTCTGTCCTCCTCTCTCTCTGTCCTCCTCTCTCTCTGTCCTCCTCTCTCTCTGTCCTCCTCTCTCTCTGTCCTCCTCTCTCTCTGTCCTCATCTGCCTCTGTCCTCCTCTCTCTCTGTCCTCATCTGCCTCTGTCCTGCTCTCTCTCTGTCCTCCTCTCTCTCTCTGTCCTCCTCTCTCTATGTCGTCCTCTCTCTGTCCTCCTCTCTCTCTGTCCTCCTCTCTCTCTGTCCTCATCTGCCTCTGTCCTTCTCTCTCTCTGTCCTCCTCTCTCTCTCTGTCCTCCTCTCTCTCTCTGTCCTCCTCTATGTCCTCCTCTCTCTGTCCTCCTCTCTCTCTGTCCTCATCTGCCTCTGTCCTCCTCTCTCTCTGTCCTCCTATCTCTCTCTGTCCTCCTGTCTCTATGTCCTCCTCTCTCTCTCTGTCGTCCTCTCTGTCCTCCTCTCTCTCTGTCCTCATCTGCCTCTGTCCTCCTCTGTGCCCTCCTCTCTCTGTCCTCCTCCTCTCTCTGTCCTCCATTCTCTCGGTCCTCCATTCTCTCGGTCCTCCATCAAACTGCATCTCAACCATTTGGTAAAGGCCTGCACTGCAAAAAGTGATAAATAATGAGGTATTAAAACCTTAAATCAGGTGTTTTTTACCTTTAATCTGACACATTTTGTTTTTGTGCAGTCAAAATGAGCTCAAATGAAGATACTTTTAGCCACACTTTTTTGCATTTTTTTGCTTCTTTTTCCTCCCTTTGTGCAGTGCTGGGTCTGCGTCTCCTGCACTTGTTCGGCGCTGGCTCTAATTGCTCTGTGTCATTTTATTGTAACAAACCTGCGATGGATTATTCCTCCGCTCACTGCTGTAAACACTTGTTATCATCCAGGTTCACAGATGTGGCATGACGGCACATTCCTGAATTATGATTTAAATCTTTGGCAAATGTTCCGAACCGTATTTCTCCAAATAAACTGTTCATGTGAGAGCCTCGCACTGACGGCATGAGTAATGGTATTTACATTGTTAGTTCTTCTAGCATCCACTCCAAAAATGCTATTTCAATACATACAGTATAAATGTGTACTAGGGCTGCACGATATATCGAAAGAATGTCATTATCGCGATATTGTTTCGTGCAATATCCATATCGAAAAGATCCATGATAAAATATATATACTGTATAAGCATTTGAATGTCATTAATTTTATGCTTATTTTTTGTTATTCGTCTCTTCCGTTTCAATGCAGTTTGCAATTTTAGGTGAAAGACAAAAATATCGCAATAATATCGTTATCGCAATACTAAACACTCGTATTGAAAATCGCTCTAATTTCCAGTATCGTGCAGCCCTAATGTGTACTGTAGATACCGCAATAGACTCAAAGACGACTATGTAATTGGTAATCCGAAATTAGAAAATGTAACAACTGAGTCCACCGCTACATTCATGATACTATCCACATTTATCACTGTGAAAGTTTGTTCCATAAACTAAAATAGTAGATTCCAGTTTGTATACCAAAAATTATTTCTAATGGTTTTTTTCTTCTTTTTTTAGGGCTGTAACAACGAATCTCTAACGTTAGCATAATAAAGAAGCAATTATAACATCTTTAGCTTTAGCATAATAAGAGACGTGGCAGAAAATGTATAAATATCTCACCTTTATTTTTTGTTAAAAATGAGATAAAATATGTTCTAACCAGCTGCTGGTTACTGCTCGACCCGTTTATCCATGTTAACTACATGTTTTAGATCTCTACGATGATAAAAAAAAGCCAAAACAAGTAAATATATTGCAAATGAATCTGGTTTTGGTAACAGGCCACAATGATAAACTGAAAAATACCCTGAATCATTTTTTTTTCAAACCGAATTTTTATGACTTTTCTTTTTGTCATTTAGACCTTTTTAGGGCCTATTTAAAGGTTTTTTTCTTCTACTTTTAAATCACTTTGGTTGTTTTTTGACCCGACGGTGGCACAAGCGTTAAGCAGGGCAGGGCCTGGTTAGTCCTGTGGTTGTGTCCTTAGGCAAGACACTTCACCCACATTAGAATGAGTCTGGTGTGAGGGCCTGAGGGCACAGACTGGCTGCCTCGCTTCTGTCAGTGCTCCCCAGGGCAGCTATGGCTACAGTATTGGTTCATAAGCGTCTTTGAGCGTCCAAACAAGCCGATGCATTATTATTAAGATGATGATGATGATGTTCTAGCACTGACCTTCTGACCCAGTTCTAATTGTGTATTTCAATCCTGCGAAACGAGGACTATCATTTTACTGAACATTGCGATGCCACAGCACCCATGATTATTGACTCGTTCTCTTGCCCGTACATTAATGCCCGACTTCCAGATCATCAGATCACTATCTGTTCCGTGATGTTATAATTAGCAGAAATGCTTTGTCACCTCTCTGGAACAACCCTCCATCATCCTCCATTACAGCCGCTGCTTGAGGAAATTGTGTGTGTAATTGCCTTGTAGCGGTTATGTCAACACAGGCAATTACCCAGCATGCCGCAGCAGGAGAATAGTAGTGATTGTGAGGACGGGGCCGGAGCAGGAAACGCAGGTACTCGCTCTGCTATTACGGCTAATGACACAGGAGACGGAGAGCCACTGCTGCACCAGTCCCACAGCCTTCCCCTCCTCTGCTGCTGACGAGAAGGACTTATGTCGTATGAACCCCAGAACGACACAATATTAAAATGTGTCGTAAGGTCCTGAGAAATTCAGATCTAATGAATGGATTCAAAAGTAAAATCGTAGATAAAGTGATTACGTTTCAACATGTGTACCTGCTCTGGACTCCTGGACTGCTCTGCTTGAAATATGAACTATTACATACATATAATGTATTTTGATTTTGTTTTATTTATTTCTAGCTTCTAAACAGGAATGATGTAATTTGCAGTATCAAAGTATTACACATATTTACATACATATACAAACATATATGTATTGTTTTCAGTCCACTCTGTCCAATGGCGGTGAATTTGGTTTGAGATATTGATATATATTATTATAATTTGTAAGTGCTCTGGGTACAGTGTGACATTTATGGGTCTTAATCATAATGCAAGAAGGTTTCAAACAGGGGCGCACATCCCAGTAGCCTGAACTAATGTGCTAGATTAAAAAAGAAAAAATAGAACAAAATCTGCACAGCCATGTTGCTCCCTGTTGTCTTTTATTACCAGTCCGCGATTGATTTCTGGCTGAGGCCTTCATCAGACATGTTGTGATTTCCTCTCGGACTCTGGCGACATTCTCTGGAGTTTGTTGTATTGTGAGAGCTATAAGGTTTTTGGTCCAGCGGTTGCAGAAAGTTTCTCTCTTTTTACCGATGATTGGTCCTTCGGTGATTCTCAAACCAAGAGGGATACTTTCACACGCATATAGTTACTTAGAGTCATCGCGTTTAAATATAAGGATTTCTCGTCTCAGCCCAAAAGGTTTTTCTATCGTAGTCTATAGATAAAGACACCTGGGAGCAACATAGCTGTGCAGAGTTTTCTCTTAATTGTCTATTCATTTTTCTGTTAATTGTCTAAATCCTAATGCAGCGATATAATTGACAGAAATGTCATGAAAAACTGTGATTATTTATATTTTTACCAGACTATCAGAGACGGACGCTGCTCTCGCCACACCGAATGTTATCAGTCTGTTGACCTGTTGGATATGGATAATGGTACGAATTACGTTTTGTCATTTCAGGGTCCGCAGATCTCGGGGAAAAAGCCAAACAAGACTCCAGAAAAAACAGGAAAAACTGGGTCTCCGCCAAAATCCAAGGTAAGGACTGTTCAACGTGTTCTCACTTTGTTACATTAGCTTTGACTTCCACCACTGCTTTAAAATAAAAACTCTAACATTAGCGCGATAAAGCATAAGAATACGTGATAAAGTAACTAAGTTGAATGACAGTGGACACGTGTGGTTCTATATTGCACATTCTGACATAATGATCTATATTGCACATTCTGACATACACAGTGTACAGGTGCAGGCCGTGAGCTTATGTGTCAAAGTCTGTTCTAAGTGATACCACAGAAAGAGAAACTACATTTGCTGATTTAAACGATGCGATGGTGATGAAATGGGAGGTTCACGGTACATTCTTCCGAACTGCCTTTATGCCTAAGTGCTTAAATGGAATGTCTGTAAGTACCACCTTTCCAGCCCAAAGTGTGAAGCGCCGTGTGGTTAAGCAAACACACCTGACCTCCCTCCGCCTCCCGGGGCCAGGTTTAAACCCCTGACCCCGGGGCTTAATCCCACTTTCTTAAGCCGCCATCTTCTATGACACTTTCTCACACCTTTTTGGCACCATTTTGTAAAAGCAAACACGATCTGTGGAGAATATTACCAGCACCATTTCACAACGCATCACGCCCCGATGAGATGAAAAAGTCAGTTTAGATAAGTGCATGTGTGCAAAGCAAACGCGGCCGCTGACACGTTGATGGAAAGCGCTGTGATTCTTTGTCATGTCGAACACTAAGCCACTGGATCAGGGTTTGTCCTGAGGCGAGAAACTGAATCTCTCTGGCCCAGAGCTCGACTTGTGTGGGAGATGTGTGGCTGTTGTCCAGACATAACAGGATTAGGCCAGTGGCAACTCAACCTCCCAGTACCACTGCAGCTCTCTCTACTGCAGCTCTCTACTGCAGCTCTCTACTGCAGCTCTCCACTGCAGCTCACTCCACTGCAGCTCACTGTAGCTCTCTCCACTGCAGCTCACTGTAGCTCTCTCCATTGCAGCTCTCTCCCTGTTCTCCTCGGGCGACTTCTGTTCATCAGTGGTTTTTACTGAGCTGCTGTGGACCATAATAAATGTCACATTTGAGTTGAGGCTTATTTTCTTCCTTGTTTGTGAAGTCTTTGAATAATACGAGGGACATGAATTGCAATAGAATCAATTCACAATATTGCAATAATATCAAATTGTCACAATTTTTACAATTCCCACTTCTAATGAACGCTGTTGTCCTGTCCTTGGGCAAGACACTCGGGCCGCATTCTCACATTGGAGAAGAATTTGTGGACAAATGATGAATGTTCAGGAAGGAAATCCCACCGCAGCCGAGCCACCGCTCAGCCATTCAGCTTTCAGCTACAATAGCGCGTCTCAAATACAATCTTACTACATTTTCCTGACACTGCCACAGGTGCAGAAGTCTGTCTGCAGTTTGTCACCCAAAAAGTCAATAGCTGAAAACAATGGCATCTTCAGTTCAATGTATCGCTCTCCCTAATTCACAACCGTATAGTTATCTCAGAGGACTTTAAAAAGCTGTCGATTCACCAACACAGATCACAGAATCAAACAGTTCAAACACAGGAAATGCAATGATAATAAGACAGTCCATGAGGGGCTGAGACCAATGTCCATAATGTTGATAAAGTCCATGTTCAAGTTTGCTGTTGTGAGTTTTGTTCCAGCCACTGTGTGTAACATCGACATGAAGTGAAGCAACCTTTTCCATTCATTCCATCCACAAATGCAATCTTATCTATGTCCAATGGCAAACGGTGTGGGGAAGATGAACGGGGATGGGCCACTCTTTGGATTTTCAAAGAGCTCTCCAGAATTCTGCTTTAACATAAAAATAGGAACATTAATACAATTTAAACCCAAAAACAAACTTCACATGTCCATGTCCTGAGCAGTGGTTGGATGACCCGCAGGTGACGGTCAGTGAAGTGGATACTCCTGGGCGACAGTCACCAGTCGCGGCACTTTAAAGGCGTCTGCCCTTTTACTAATGCGCTCATAAAGTGAGAGTTTGTTCTCACTCCAGGTCTGCAGAGGGCCTCTGTCATGTGGAACTGTGACTGCCCTCTCCTACATTTCTTCGACTTCTCCAAAACAACTGTTCGCTCTTGACAACCTCTTCACACCCCTCACTTCCTGGACACACCTTCTCCCAATTGCTCCCATTACAGTGTGTTTGAAGTCTGGAGCAGGCTGTGCTTCCAGATGCCCCTGAGGAGCAGAGAGCGGGCGTGGGTGTCTGTTTTTCCCTCTGCCTTCGATTCCCGCAGCACAGGTGACTGGTCATTACATCTGCAGTTGTCAGAAGTGTTTGCCAGCGCCGCCGTTCTCACTTCTCTGATCCAGCGTGGAACTGAACCTTCTTGCATAACAGGCTGGACGTGCGAAGCGGCCAACTCCGTGGACTCTCTCCGCAGCTGGTGTCTCGTGATGGATGGCCGTGTGGAGATGTCGATGCCTTCTGACACACGTCATAGTCGTAAACGTGTTAACCACTCCACTCAGGCCTGTCACTAACGCCTGTGAGTCATTGTGTTAGTGACTGATTTACATGTGTCCGAGCAGGTGCCTGCCGATCTGCTTCACGTTTGCATATATAATTATTTTCCTTTTGAATTTTATGTTTGCTCCTGACTAAGTCTATAAATGTTGTAAATTGAAAACAAATGCGTAAAAGCCAGGTCCCTGTAATTGCACTGGGGGTTTATGGGATTAGAATAATGTCCCTGGTGAACTGTCTCACCCCCTCAAAGCTTTCATTCCAGCTAAATAACACTTGCCATCGCTGGACAGAGCGATGAGGAAAGGTGTCGCAGGCATGTGTTTCTGTGAACTGAAGAGCCGCATCAGATGATGTGTGCTTGTGATTAAGTTCCCGTCCCTCGCATCTGTAATCAGTGTCTGGCCCAGATGAAAAGCTGGCTCTCTCTTGTGTTTATCAGCTGTTTGAGTCCACAGCTGTCCTTTGGAAGTACAGAGCTGCCAGTAAATAATAAATACGTAGAGCATTTGTCTGGCAGCCTGCCAGTGCCATATGTTCCCTTTTTAAACTGAGCTATGCAGGTTTTTAATACCTTTTGATCTTTGCTATAAAACGCTCGCTTCTTAGGGACAGGGACAAGTGATTATTTTTTATCATTACTGACCCCCTTTATCCAGTTTAACCCTTCTGGTGTTTCAAACCTAACGAGCCATACCTCCTTTTAATCTGGAGCAAGTCTACAGCCCCTATGTGCTTATGAGCCTCTATATTATCGACCTGCACAAGTTCTCACAAACCTATTCATGAAAACATCAATTCATGATACATTTAATGATTGCAAATGAATGAAAAGTCAACATGAATTAATCCAACTCGTTCTGTTATTAGCTCGGAAAAAACTCTGCTCTCGTCCCATTACCTTAGATTGAGATTTCTGTTATTATTTCCCCCCAAGAACGGCCTCATCTCTCCTACGTCTGTGCTATCAATGAAACCCTGCAATTTTGATGGATTCCTCACAGAGCTGCATGCAGAGACCTGCTCCGTGGCTTGTGTAACACTCCGTCACTTTGAGGAAAGTTAGAGTTCTTACCGTCAAACCATCTGAAAGTCTGACTAACGCCAGCTCCGGCTGCACCTTTGTCTGTCATTAATAGAAAAATGTAGCGCTGGTACATGCTGCTCTCACTTGGAGAACGATGAAGCCATACTTGCACCTGACGTATTAAATGATGTAGTAATTAGGTTAGAGTTTGTTGTCTTTGCGGAGGCTTTAATCTGCCTCCAGCTGTGCTCTCGTGCCAGGTTTTAAACATGTGTCCGAACTGAAGTCACCGTCCAGCCAATCAGCAGCTGCGATTCCATCACCGACATCAGCCTGATCCACCATCATCCTGGACTGGGATCAGATCATCTGCTTACAAACTCCTTAAACAGGTCTTGTAGTGAAGGCCTAGTGTCAAACTAAAGACATGGGAGTCACAATTCTAAATACCTAAATACACAATTCTAAATACATTACATAGATTTGTAAATGTTTTATTTTAAATCCACTTTAAGATACAAATATTTGAAAAAATACACCCCCATTGGAGGATTTTCTACTTCCGGGTGAATCATCAAGACAACTGGTCCTCCCAAATGTCAATCATTCTGGTGATGCGTGCTCGTCAATTAAGACCGGAGAGTTTGGTTCATTCCTAAAATTTCGGAAAATCCTCCTTTTATATCTTGTTAGGTTTTAAAAAATTCTTCTTCTTCTTTAACATATCTTTATTACGAGGAATAGCCTCTTGAGATGCATCATCTCGTTTTCAGGAGGGTCCTCAAAAATAGCAACACAAGTAGCAGCAGCGGTTGTCAAATAAATGCAGTTACAGTAAAGTGTAACAAATAAAAAACATAACAAATTACAGTAAATAAATTCAATAAAATAACAGACAAAAAACTAACACAAACAATACAAGGACAGAAACATTCGCTCACACACACACACAGAGCTCTCAGAGGTCAGAGGTCACCCTACTCCTCAAACTAGGACAGTGAAAACCAAAGGATATAATATTTAAAAGAAAGTTCAGTAGCAGTTACAAACATTACACAGATGCCTTTGTACAGCAACTTTGTACAGCAAAAAATGTAAGTAGTGAAAATGCTGTGGATGTAGAGAGCCTTGTATTTGAGGTTGGGGCTTACCGTTGTTGGCGAGAATGCAGAAAAATCTCACAATTCGCTTCAATCCTCGAAACAGAAGCCATAGAAGGAATTACAGCGTTACCTTTTCGCTTTGGTGACACATGTTTTATAATAGATATGAAAATGTGGGGTTCACTGCCATCTGTTTTGAGCTCTCTGCCGTGCACTGTTTCCTGGTCCCTCCAATTCCATGTGTGAGAGAGAGATACAAACCAATCAGAGGTTCAACTGTTTTTGCTGTGAAATGTTTGACTGATGTGAAAAAGTCTGATGATCTAAACTTAACAGATCTAGACGAGTGAGCTTCTGCTTTTGCCCGGATGACCTCAGGGTGGACACAGACCATCACACGCAGTTTAGGGCTGGTGTTCCCACAGATAAAATATAGATATAAATAGATACTTTATTGATCCCTCAAGGAGAAATGCAGTTTTCCAGCAGCATAATTCTATGAGTTACTAACAATAGTAATAAAGTGTTGCTCTCTCTGCTCTGGTTCAGAGTGAAATTCTAAATGCTTTATTAGTATTCAAACACAAAACCGAAACTGTCATGTGTTTCCCGAGCCCCGGGTTTCCATCATCTCTCTTTGACTTTCTCACAGGGGAAAGACAAAGCCCAGGCCGGCTCCTCCAAAGCTTTTTCCGTGGACGAGATCAAGAACAAGTTGTCCGCGAACATCAAGGAGGTAATTCTGTCCTCTACTTCTGCAAATGCACTAACCACCTGTAAAATGTACTGTGTTTAAACTTGTCCTTGTTCCACCAGGGAAAACCGCTACCAAAGACGGAGCAGAAGTTGGAAAATTACATCAAGAATACCTATAGAGTGGCCGACAAAAGTGTGAGTATGGGATCGACATGGCGCTCTTTAACAGGACCAGGCTTTATCTATGTTCATATCATTCACAACTAAATGCAATATATATGGAAATTGCAGTTTAGAGAAATATATATGTGGATGCAGTTTAGAGAAATCATGCACAAAGAGGAGATTGGAAACACCTTTGAATGCAGGATTTTTCTAATTAGATAAATAGATTCTTCATTGATCCCCGTAGGAGAAACTCAGTTGTCCAGCAGCAGCAAAAAATCTATATCATTCCTGAAAATCTAACAATAGTAATAATAAGCTACAGCACTTGAGGTCACAGCAGCAGCCGCTTGGTTCGGACCTTTTTCTCTGCTTTGGTCCAAAGTAAAATGTTAAATGCTTCATTAGCATTTTTCAAAAAGTTAGCATTCCTCCAGTGGATTTTTGCCTGATCCTCTCTAGTGTAAAACCATGAACACTTTACTGCAGCAACATCTCGGGTAGAAAAAAGTAAGAAAAATAACAATTGTAAAACACAAAACAACTGTTTCAGAGCTGCCATTTCCAGCGTATTCAAAAGAAAATCAGAATCCAAATTCTTTTTTTTGCCATTGTATGTAACAGAAAGTCACAAACTAAGAATTTGCTTCGGCTCAAGGTGCAAACAAGTTGAAATATTATAAGGCAAAATCAGTCTTAATATTACTACGATATACCACCGCACAAAGTACACACATTTAGCAGTGCAGTAAAGTGACAGTAGTAGCAGAGGTCAGTGATGAGATATGAAATGTTCTTGAGTACTAGCTCAAAAGTCCGTGAGCACGTGCGCTGACATACTCACAATTCCACCCGAGCCAGTGGGGGTGTACCCGGAAAGAGAATTATCCAATGCTTTTGTATGGCGTCTACTTTCCTCTCAAAGTCTTAACAGGATGGTCCAAAAGTCGCTCTTGGCCCAAAGCTACGTTCCAGAAGCTGTCAATACTGAGGGGAGTATACTTTTTGAACCAGTCTAGTTTAGTCGCTGTGGACTTCAGAATGCACTTGTTAAATGAATGGGGCTGGTGCCGGCTGACGTTTTTTTTCCATTTTGATGGCACATTAGTTTCAACAGCAGAGATAGGCGCGACTACATCCGTTAATCGTTACAGTCTGCAGACGGGAAAACAATCGTTTTTTTTAACCTTACTTGCTCAGAAGAGGTTTTCTGACACTCATAACTCTATAATGATATGAAAATGTGCTTACAAAGTATCAAACAAAGTAACAGAAAATCACTCCTTGAAGATGCTCTCCAGAGACATCACTTGAACTGTGTTTTTATTTATTTATTACATGGACACAGCTTACGGTAGATTGTATTTTTACTGAAGGAGAAGGCAGACGCATACGTTTATCAGCACTTCCTTTCACTTCCTTCTGTCAATCACCAAACAGATGTCGACAGATGTCTTAAGATTTGTACTTTAAAATAAGAGTGTGGGTGGGGTTTAGTGGATTTCACCAATCACTGTTATATCATCCTAAAAGCTCAAATTCGATTGTATCAGAACAGTTTATATTTAACTCTATTATGCTTAAAGATTCTCGATGCTGTGAAGCTCGATTCCTCTGATAAACCATGTGACACGCCTCAGTACTTCCACACTGACTTCAGCACAGATGATAACAGAGAGATTTCCCACACTGGGAGATGTGCGGCCGATGACTTATACTCGTGCGGTGTCAGATGCAGTGGGAGTGCACCTGCCAAGGAGGACTCTGGGCGGCTGATTTAGGGCCCGGTGTGTCTCTCGTTTCCTTAATGAGGGGACTGATGGTATGTGGATGTACCAGCCTCTCTCGCATTCAAGGCCTTTCACCCAAACCAACAGTGTGTTATTCCAAATGGAACGCCTAAATCTTCCCCTGATGGAGCGCGTCATCGACCGGAGAAAAACAACTCCTGCTCTGGGTACACTCTGTACGGCCTGTCGAGGAGGATCCAGTTATAACTGGCTGTAAGGATTGCTACTGATGGGAGAAACTCTATTCTGTTCAGTTTTGCATTAAACCTGCACAGTAGAACAACGCATTGGGATTTTTAAATATAATCTGTGTCACTTATTGTTTTCTGAGTTTCCTCTGAGGTTTATGTCCCTCTTTTATGTCTGCTTTTTGTGTTAAGACCATCAGAATGTGCTCAGATTAAGAAAAAAGCAATGCAAGCTATTATTATTATTATTATTATTATTGCTTCCTTTTTCTAATTTTTTGCAGAGTAGGCAGGACAGAAAAGCACTCTGTAAAAAACCGTATAAACCCTATTATTATTATTATTATAAGAAGAGAGTAGCTGCCAGCTTCCTGTGGACCCACCACCTGCAGGAGGATCAGTGAGGGACTGGTGCTCTGTGAATTGGGGGGCAGCTCTGATTGTTAGAAGAAGGACGAAGGGAGAGCAGGGGGCAGGGAGGACAGACCTGTGGCCAAGACCTCCCACAACAAAGTGACTCTCAATCAAAACTACCAGTACGAACATATCTGTACAACCAGTTTTTCAAATCAAAGCAATCCATCGTAAAACTCGTGGCTGTAGTGAGAGAGGACACACACCATTGGCGCCTCCGCCCTCCCCGCCCTCCATCGCCTCCAACACCAGCGGCTGCCACTGCCACTGACCCGACATGTACCGCCACCACGTGACTCCGCGGCGGGGGCCAAGTGTGAAGTGCGGGGCCGGTGACAGCGCCGTGGACCAGAGCGAGCGAGCGTGGGTGGGGTGATCCCTGTGTGGAGAAACATCTGTGCGAGCGCTTTAGCTTCATCAGCCAAGGCCCGAGATCTGTCAGACCAGGAGCACCTAGTCATATACTCTGGTATGTAGCTCTGCCTCCGCCCTGCGCCACTCCTGAGCTGCACTTGTACCACATATACTTCATATTCTTCACTGTTTCAACTTCAGCTGGAGGTCTGGGATCTGGGGTCACAGCAGAAGACGCGTCGTTGTTGGTAAACGCCGCGATCGTGGCTTTATGAAAGAAAAAACAGGGACCTGCTCTTAGCATCTGCCACGGCACCAACAGATGTGTCAATTCAACTTTTTTTGCATCGTCCTAAATCACAACACTAGGTAGGTGAATTTGCAAACACTGATCAGAGAATCAAACGGATCAAACAGAGGAAATGCGACAATAAAAATAAAAAAACACATAGAAACATTGGTCCATGGTCCAATGTCCATAAATGTTGAATGTGGAGGGACCTGGATCAACACCATTGTCTTTAGACTCTCCTAAAAATGAAACTCTAACTTCAACCTTCAGACCAAAACATCAAGTGGAAAATCTCTGACTTCTAGAGAGTGTTGTAATAATCATCAGAAGAGTCAGGATCCAGCTGAGAGAGAGAGAGAGAGGTGTGGAGAGGGCATTGTGGGCGTCTGCTGGGACTGCTGTCTCGGCAACGGATAAAGCGGAAAAAGGATGGATGGTCAAGGAATGCCACATCTGAAATGCAATGTACGTATTGTATGTATTTTATGTCCAATCAATACAGAATAGAATAGAACATCGTTGTGGGAAAAAAAAAAACATTCTGTTGAGTATCACACTATTTTGCACATGTGATATTGAATTGGATAATTTGTTTCTCTTTTGTGTTTTCCCTGAGTTTACGCTGTTCTTTGACATTAGCGTTTTACATCCACAAGGGGGCGCTTGTTGTGGTGCTTTGTTTTCTTGAATGGATTCAACAGGAAGTTCAAAGGAAAATGGCTTCATCACAACTTGTTCGACACGTGTTTGTGCACTTCCCCCCTCAGTGTTTGCTTCAGTTCATGAACAGACCATAATAGTAAATGTCACATTTGATTCTCCTCCATGTTTGTAAAATCTTTGAATAATTTGAGGGACATGAATCGTGGTACATCGCAGAATCGAAACACAAAACTTGCTGTATCACAATAATATTAAATTGTGACCCAAATGTTGTATTACTGTCAAATCGTCAAATTTCTTCCACTTCCCGCTCCTTCTGAAGCTTCTGTTGTTATTGTCAGGTTCTCAACAATGATCCAGTTTAGTGTCTTCTCGGTCAGAAACACATTTGCAAAAAACAGACGACAGTGAGTTTAATGAGACTGATGGCTTTCAAAGCTTTCAAAGATGGAAACAAATCTACATTTAAACAGCGTTATCCTTCATCTAACAGCTTCAGCTCAAGCTGCAACCCCCCTCCTCCCCATCTTGACCTCAACAGATTTCTTTCCATGTTGGTGACTGAACCCTTTTGCTTCCACCACCACAAGGTGTTGATTTTTTTTCTTATCCCTGGGGGGGATTTAGTTTGTGTAACATATGAAATTCAAATTGTTAAAATACAAAGTGCCGTCTATCTACCTGACTCCACCAAGAGGCTGCTCTTCCTCTATTGGCCCATAAATATAAGCCATAAGCAAAGTGAACAAAGTGCCGATCATGCAGAAACCAATTCTCTTCAGTGTAACTCAACATGATTCTTCTGAGTGATTTCTTTCCATCTTGAACTTCTTTTAATATCTTGAATGTTGTCGTCCGCAGGTGATCAAGGAACTCTGGAGACACGTGCAGGCAGTGAAGACGGGCAAATAACCACAGCTCAGTCCTAACAATTTATATTATCATTGTTTTTAAAGGCACACTCTGTGGAGCGTCCACATGTATCAGCCCCGTGTTCCACCTCCTGCTTTGGATCTGACTCTGCTTCATGACAGAACATTGTAGGTTTAAGGTGGACTCATTGGAATAAGCTTTTAACCGGTTTGAATATTCTTAAAATGAGATGTTTGAGCTTACAGTCATTTCAATCCTATCTCAACCCTTTGAGGTGGTGACGGAAGTCCAGAAATGTGAAATAGAAGACACACAAATGCACCGTGAGATCCACAACATGTTATTACAGAATGTGCCTTTAAAATCCCACACTGTAAACTACATTGAAGCAAAAGGCCGAGACTTCTCCGTCCACATCGCAAAGATTTGTCTCCACGAACAATGTTTTTATACTTTTCTCTGGCTTGTGCGTCGAAAGATGATTACATGGAGGGTTGATTGACGATATTGTGCAGTAGTTTTAGAGTGTGTTTCTTCATTCCTATCTTTTTAAACAAGTTTTATTTTGTTGCTTTTTAATACTTACCCTTCTAAGCCTAACAATCTTGTGACAATGAAAATGGCTCGAGTTCTGTTGTGTTATTCCAAATAGTGTTTTTGGACTAGAATGGCCCTAGAGTATTTCTCCGGTTTAAAGAAAATTACCAAAACACTGTAGTTTCATCCTAAACAAATCAAACCAAATGACAACAAAGCGTAACAGCAGACCTCGGATGCGATACATACATGAAAGTCTGGAGAAATGAGATGTTAACACGCTCCAGAAACTCCTATTTACACACTTTGTTAATTAAGAACGCAGCTACGACGGGAAGAAGGCCTGTCCGATGAGGTCACTTCATAAAGCACTCAAAACGAAGCAGGAATGTCCCATGTTCCTGTGTTTACGATCCTATAATGTATTTCATGAGCTAAATGTTAGCATAGCGCATGAATGGAGATTGTCCTCAGGCAAATGCACGGAAATGTGATCGATGTCAAATGAACGGTTATAGTACAGTTTTGATAAGGGTTCGGCAGCTGTCACTAATGTGTTTCTGCTAATTATGTCCGGAATGTTCCAGGTTCTGTAAGTCTGGCCATTGGTATCATGTTTATATTGACTATTTTAATGTTGCAATTATTTTTAATTAAAAGTTTGGTTCAAAATTTACTTGTTGCAGCGTTATTGTTTTTTCTGCACTGTTTGCGTTCTCCTATATAGGTCTGTGTATACGTGTGTGTATATATATATATGCTGCGTAAATGTGTAAGTATAGCTGTGTATGTATATGTGTGTGTGTGTGTGTGTGTGTGTGTATATATATATATAGAAAAAATATATGTGGATGTATAGGTGTGTGTGTGTATGTATTTATATTTAATGTATAGTTTGCACTGAATCTGAAAACTTTCACACACAAAGTTTATGGTTTTATAAAAGATAAAACCTTGAAAACATAATGCTGAGAACTATCAGCTGAGGAGCACCATCTGAGGAACAGTCTGCATCAGCACAGGATCAGATAAGAACCCTGACCTGTCCCACAGTGAGGAAATGGCAATGTTGCAGCGCACAGACGGGACAGCAGTAAGAGACACACAAAAGAATTACAATATAATTAGCTCCAATACTTCTTAGCTAACTAAATGCTTCATAAGAGCAGCAAGTAAATATATATGTATATCTTTATATAGTGAAAATTATCTACATGTTGCAGGATAATAAGTAGATAAAGTGACATTCAGTTCGAATCTAAAATAGCTGTGATCCAGACCTCCAGGTCTGTGATCCAGACCCTCATGCACCAGTCCCAGTTCATGGGCTCCTCCAGAGGGAACGTCTTGTTTGTCTTCTCTACTTTGACATGGGACACGATCAAGAATGTTGTGTCTCTTACATGAAAGATTAAACCAAACAAACCTCATCTTTTAGTTCAAAGTGATTGCATCAAACTTTCAATTTGTTCCATTTCTCAGAGATCACCCAATGATATTTCCCTTTTCAAGTGAAGCAGAAATGCAGACCATGCATGCATTTTGGCAGCCCACCTCTGCCTCTATTGCCAATAATTCAGAGCCATCTGTCTCTCTAATTAAACGCACTCCTCTCGCGCTGACACTGTGTTATGGTGACCTGCTCATTCTGATGTTTGAACCTCAACACAGAGCAGAAGAAAGGCTGGGTTAGCCGGGGTGGGGGGGTTAGGTCTGGAGGCCTTTTGTTTAATTTAATGTTTGGATAAAAAATCTAAAGTGGTGATATGTTCACAGGGAAAGCAGATGACATGAGATCAAGGCAAGAAGAGACAGAGCAGATGCGACAGAGAAGGCTCCAGGAAAATATAGATGTGAAAGACTCAAGATGTCAGAGACCACAGGTGTAATGTTTACTGTTCTGTCTCTGTCATAATAAGAAACTTACCATGACCACACCCACCAGCCGATAATTTCTCATTCATTATTATAGCTGGTGAATCAATCTAATATATTAAAAGATGTCATATTATGCTTTCTCTGGTTTAAACAACAACATACAGTGCTTTTTGGCCTCATACACATGCCCAGAGTAGATTATTCATTGAGGTCATGCAGCCTCTATCAGAGTCCATCGTGTGGTCCGTAGACTGTCATTTTAATTCTAAATTCTATATCTAATTCTAATTATATATCTTTAATAATAGACTCTGTTTGATGTGTGCAATTTGAGTGCTCTTTCTCTGCTGTAATGTGCGCAACGATGACACTGACATTTCCCCACTGTGGGACCAAAAAAAAAGGAATATCTTCTCTTATTCCCAACATAAAAGACAGGAGCCTTGGCCTGTGAGTACATTACAACTAACTCTCCGTATAGATAGATACAGTACTATATTGATTGCCTGTAGGAGAAATTCAGGTGTCCAGCAGCAGAAGACTCATCCAGGTTGGTTGTACAGTCTGACAGCTGAAGGAACAAAGGATCTCTTGAAACATTCCGTTCGGCATAGTACTGATAGGAGCCTGTTGCTTCGATTACTCCTCTGAGCGGCCATAGTGTCATGCAGAGGGTGTCTAGAGCCCTCATCCTTCTCTCCAGCACAGCTCCCACAGAGTCCACACTTCTCCCCAGTCTCGAGGTCAGACTTCCGCCCCAATACGCAACCCATAAGAACACAGCACTAGCTACCACAGACTGGTAAAATATGTACAACATTTGACTGCTCAGATCAAAGGACCTCAGTCTACTCGGAAGTAAAGTCTGCTCTGACCTTTTTCTTGTAGATGGCATTGGCCTGAGCTGACCAGTCCAGTCTGTGGTCCAGGTGGACTCCCAGATATTTATAGGAGTGGACCACTTCAATGTCCTGTCCATTTACGGTGACCGGTCGATAGGAAGGGCTCCTGTGAAAGTTGATGATCATCTCCTTGGTCTTGGACGCATTGAGGAGCAGTCCATTTCTCTCACTCCAGTCTGAGAAGGCAGCCACCCCCTCCTTGTACTCTGCTTCATCCCCCCCTTCACACATGCCACAAGTATTTTTGTACATGGCATATAGCAGGGTTGTGTCCAAAGTCTGCAGTGTAAATTGTGAAGAGGAAGGGAGCCAGAACGGTACCCTGTGGTGCTCCCGTATTGCTCACAGTGAGGTAATTGTAAATCCAGTTGGTAAAGATGGGATCAACTCCAATCTTCTCTAGTTTCTCCCTCAGTAAGAGAGGTTGGATGGTGTTACATGCACTGGAGAAGTCAAAGAACATCAGCCTCACATAACCTCCAGGGCCATCCAGGAAGGACACGGATCGATGGAGCATGTAGAGGACCCACTCATCCCATGTTCTCAGGCAGATACCCGTCCCCAAGGTTTCACCGGGCAGGGATACATCCAGTCTGAACACCTTTGTTAAATATGGTATGGAGAGGCTCAGCTCACTCCACTGCTTCAGGCCCGGCAGACTTCCTCTCCTGGAGCTTCTTTAGCTCCACCCGGACATCCTCCACGGTGAAGAAGGACGCAGCAGCAGGGGTGGTGAAGCCGTTGAGAGGAGCAGGACTGGTCGCAGAAGCAGAGGTGGTGTAGCCGCCGGCAGGAGCAGGACAGGTCACAGCAGAGGTGGTGTACCGCCGGCAGGAGTAGGACAGGTCACAGTAGAATCATCGGGGACAGGGGAAGAGTCGAACCGGTTGTAAATGTGGTTAAACTCACCAGCGTTCCCGGCTGCCTCACTGGGCTTCGCTTTATATCCAGTAATGGCCCTCATGTCCGGGTGTCGTTATTCTGCAGTCTCTCCTCCAGACCAGTCTTGTACTTCCTCCTTGCCTGTCTCAATGTCCTCTTCAGGTCGTGTTGCACAGTTGTCACCTGTTCCCTGTCATCTGCCTTAAAAGCCTGTTTCTTTAGGTTCAAAGTGTGTTTGTTGTCACTTGTGATCCAAGGTTTGTTATTTGGAAAACAGCGGACTGTTTTCTTTGGCACTGCTACATTGGTACAGAAGTGGATGTAGTCCGTAACACTGTCCACAGCCTCGTTAATGCCCTCCCCTGAGCCCAGAAGAATATTCCAGTCGGCATTTTTCACATTCACAAAGCAAAGTTCTAAGGCTGTGGTCACATGCACAGCTTAAAGCCTGGTTAAAGTGGGCCTGAGCCCACTTCGCGATTTGATCTGAGCTTTAGGTGCTCTGTACATTTTTCATTCTTTCATTCTCATTCATTCATCTCTCAGCGCTCTCACACACACACACACACACACACACACACACACACACACACACGTTACCCACTGAGCCCGTGCACTTTGGAGAAATACATGTCTCACTATAAATAATGACCTAAGAGCAAATACATTTTAATGAGATGGTGTGATACTGCTCCCACTGATGTCTGCTGTCGTTGTGTCCCTGGGCAAGACACTTAACCCCAATGTGCCTGAAGTTCCCGCTGAAAGACCAAGGCTGCATCTGTGTCGAAGGAGCAGCCATCTTCCCGCGGACCCACCACCTGCAGGAAGATCAGCAAG